TCTGGCTCAAAGACCGGACTGGCCGGCTCCTAAATGCTACATTAATTTCTACATCCTTGCAATAAAGGATGTTTTATAAGACATTATTAGGAAGACATAACACACACACACACAGAAGCTGGAATAATTTGCTGCTCATGAAAGATAACAGTTTAAGGGTTACTGCGTGTTTACTGCTGCCTCTATTTATGATATAGGAATCTTTGGCAACATGACTAACAACGTCCGGACATGGAACAACTCGCACACTGACCTCAGTGAGAACATGGAACACAATCCACATTGATCTGTTTTCCACTTATTTTATTACCTGCTGAACATGTACATATGGCTTTCCAGTTATGTCACGTTCCGACAATCTTTTTGGCACTTTAGACATCATGCCACCGGATTTTGTCAATATTTGTTTTTTTTCTTTTTCAAACCTAGCTCACAAAAATATTGCAGGTTTCACAGAAGATATTTATGTCCACGCTTCTTTCAAAGCACTTGACAATTTTAAGACCTATAGGCAAGCTTCCATAAAAAGCAGCAAGCACTTGTTTCCCCTCACCAGAGAACTCCATCATAAATGCATTGTGCAAGACAAGCATAAAAATAGAGGCTGGCTGAGCATAATTGGTTAGTAGATTTGCAGTGAAGTTGAGAGAACCTGTCCTGGGATAAAATATTTTTAATTTGAGAAGAAAAAAAAAAGTGGTGAAGGGCAGGCACCTTGTGCCTTCTGGTAACTGTATTCATCTTCAAATGTATTCTAGTGTTACTGTGGAGTCCCTGGGACCCTAGTCCTAGATGGTACAAGGAGACCTGACTGCTACCTAAAATCAAGATTAAATTCTATCCCTTTCTGGCATAAAGCCCTGTCCCTGTCATTTAATTGTCAAATGCTAGAGCCTCTACCACCCACTAAATTTCAGTTAATGTAGAACTGATGCCAAAAATGTTTTATACTTTTAGATAGCGTAAGGGTGAGTTAGAACCCCCAGCATTTTTGTTTTTGTCCAATTGGTTAGAATTCCCTTCACTACCTGTCTGATAGCAACAATAGAAGATGAGAGAAAACCCCTCCAAAACTCCCCGCCCTTACACACAACCGCAAACGACGATTGCACCACGTTACACATTGCCACGGACGTCGGAGTGACAGCAATAATTCTAGGGCAATGGCTCACTGCTAACTCTAAATTGAAGAGTGGTAAAGGCTTTTAACCACTTGAAGACCAGGTGTTTACTCCCCCTTCCTGGCTAGGCCATTTTTCAGTATTCAGCGCTGCAGTACTGACTGACATTTATGACATTTATGTAAACAGGCATTGCTGCCAGTCTTTAAATTTTGGTTGTTTTCCACTCGCGCAAGTGGGCGGGGCCAACAGGCCATCTTTAGATGGCCTGGTACATCCAGGAAGCTCCCGGCCGGCTGTTTTTTTTCACGACTGGCCGGGAGGCGGTTAAAGTGTAATCTATGGGCAGTTTTGGGTACTGTAGGGTTTTTTTTTTGCCATTTCACGGGCGGGTGCGCAATTTTAAGACAAGTTTGGTATCTATTTACCCGACACAGCCCCATCTTTTAAATTTTACCAACAATGGCTATTATATTCGGTTTGTGTGCACTAAAATTCATGTTAGTGTATTTTTTCCAAAAAATATTCATTTGATAAATATTTGCTTAAATATCATGCAACATAAACTGCAACTAGAATTTTTTTTTATTCTACAGGGCCTCTGCTGTCATAAAATATTAATTGTTGGGAGGTTTTAAGCAATTCTCTATCCAAAAATTCAGATTTTAATGTGTGCAAAAGTTAAGTAACTGCTCCAGACACAAACTGGGTAAATGGCTGGACCTAACCTCAACTTGGGGGGAATTCATCAAAACTGGAGCAGAGAAAATCTGGAGCAGGTTTACACTGCAGCCAATCAGCTTCTCTCTCATTTTCAGATCTTACCTAAGCAAACTGAAGAGGTTGCTGATTGGTTGCCATGGGCAACTGCTCCAGATCCTGTTTGCTCCAGTTTTGATAAATTCCCCCCAATGTTACTTACAGTCATCAGTCAGATTCGGAAATATGCATCTCACGGCTGGTTCACACCAAGTGTGTTAAACTGCATTGATCAACAAAAAGGTTTAAACGCAAGGACAAAGAGAAAACAAATTGTTTCCAATGTGCCCTGTTCACTCCATACAGTTGTGTGTTGCATAAAAATGCAGCATGCCTGCATTTTTTTCACAATGCACAACACATTAAAAAGCACTGTTGCAGGGGCGTGGCCAGGCGCATGGAGCGGTAAGACGTGCTTTAGCTCGTCTCCCGCTCACAGGGCACTGAACACAGGCAGACAGCAGCCATCCGCTCTCCCCTTTGCCGACCATGAGTGACTAAAAAAAAAAAAAAAAAAAAAAAAAAAAAACACTGTTGCATACTGCAACACGCTGTTGTACACATAGTTGAATGAAGTGGCATTTTGTGACAATGCAACAAGGTTTAAAAAAAATAAGGAGGTATAAAAGGAAGCACTGTGGTGCATTGTAACAATGTATTGCACTGCCCCTACACAAAGCACATGTTATACAGACCATCAATGGTTTCTGTAGGCAACACACACAGCTCCATCTTTAGCGCCCATTCACACTGAGTGGAAAATCCCGCGATTTCCGCCGCAATATCGTTTCATTTACTTACATAAATTAGATCCTGACAACCTCTTTTCCTAGGGCATCAGTGGCGTAGGTGTGCCTAAGCAGTACACAGCGGGAAAGCTATGTCACTGCTTGTTCCAGATCTTCCAGAGGGATCTCGTGAGAAAAAAAAAGAAAAATGGCTGCAAGATCTTGCAGCCATTTTCTTTTTTTTTTTTTTAGTCATGTGAATAACAGGCCATGATAACACAAGCTTCAGCCTTGTGGTGCAATGCGCACGCTCAGGAAGCTAGTGCTTGCCATGCATAAGCGCGAAAGTAGAGTGCGTGTCATCAGTCAGTAAGTGTGGCTGTGGCACCATAAAAACGGAAACAGATCAAAGTGCATGTGCAGGATTTCAATGTGCATCATCAGGGTGAAGGGAGAAAACCAGGAAGGGCGAACATATGCCCTTTTTCAAGATGGCCACCAACAAAAGAGCAAAGATTTTAGAAAACAAACAAAAGTAGGTAAACAAACATTTAAAACAGAATCCTAAGTGTGCTTGAATGTATTAAAAGGCATAAGGGGACATGTTTATGTCATTTGGGTCATACAAGGCAAAAGTCCACTTTTAAGAGACGCACATATGACGCCATTTTCAAAAAAGGCAAGCTTCCTGGCTGTGAAGCTGAGTCACTATCCTAGACTTAGTTAGCTGCATGTTTGTTTTGGGTAGGGATGCACCAATAACGATACTGGTATAGATATCGGTGCCGATACTGAATATTTAGGCGAGTACTCGTACTCGCTCAAATGCTCCGATACTTTTCCCGATACGGCAACTTCCGGTCAGACGGAGATTTCCTCTGACCAGCAGTGCCGCGAGGAAACATGGAGCCAGGAACCTGGCTCCATGCTGTTTGGCCGGCTCCATGCTGTTTGCCCGGGAAGCCGGCTTCCCAGCCAATCAGTGTTGAGCCGGGCAAACAAATCTGATAATATGGCGACACGACCCCCACCTTGCAGACAAATCATTCCCCTCACATAGATCCTCAGCAGCATTCATTACCGTAGCAGTCCCTCGCCCAGCTGAGCAGACACCGCTTTCCAAGCTCTCCGTGGTCTGCCGTCTCCTGAGTGCACAGCACCTACGTGATCGGCCCTCAGCCTGCTACTGCACAGGATTTTTGAATGAGAGCACTGGGCAGTATGCGCATGCGCAATAGCAGTTTGAGGGCCGATCACGTGGGCGCTGCACACAGGAGACGTGGGCACTGCAGATCCCAGAGAGCTTGGAGAGCGGTGTCTACCCAGCTTGCTGAGGGACTGGTACGGTAATGAATGCTGCTAAGGATCTATGTGAGGGGAATGAGGTGCCTGCAGGGTGGGGGTCGTGTCACCATATTGTCAGATCTGTTTGGCCGGCCTCGATGCCGATTGGCTGGGAAGCCGGTTGCCCGGCCAATCAGCATCCAACCGGCCAAACAGAATGGAGTCGGCTTCCCGGGCAATCAAGAAGCCGGGCGGTGGGTAATGACACGCCGCCTGGCTTCTTGATTGTCCAGGAAGCTGACTCTATGCAACCGGAAGTACCGGTACTCGATATCACCGAGTACCGAAATATAAATATCGGTACTCGATACCGAAAAACCGATATCAGTGCATCACTAGTTTTGGGGTATCTATTTAGACCATGTCAAAGTAGGAGACAACCAGCAGCTAGCATGCTTACAAAGAAGTCAGCAATGGTAGCCCCCCTATTTCTCACAGTACCCTTTAATTCACTTTATAAAAGGAGCCTCATCAATTTATCATACCAAACTCAGACTGCAGCTCAGATCAGCTACACTCCCAGCCTCACCCAAAATGAATTGTCAGCTTGGGGCGTATTAAAATTCTCAAGCATCACTACACTGTTCATAACCAAAACAACAGATCACATTTTAGCTGCCTTAATTTAGCCAGGAAATAAGATTAAAGTTGAAAATGTAAATATTTTATCTTGTTCCTGCTGTTGTCTGACAGCTCCAAAAACCTCTGCAGACCTGCCAGCTCAAATGTAATGTTTCACAGCCAAAATGGGTGTCTGCAGAAGACAAACATACCATAGCTAGAACTCCTTCAAACGTGCATGCTTCTAATCCCCAATCTCCCATAGGGCAGAGCAGTGAGAAAGCCCATCTTAATATTTTTTAGGATACTGTCTGTCACACAAGAAAATAAAAAAAAAATAAAAATCAGACTTTCTGCCTCACCACCCATTAGCCCTGGAATTTGGTCAACAGAAAATAATTATTTTGGACTTCCAGCAGCAGAATATGTCTTGCTTTTCCTTTAATCATCTCTGTATATAACTGGGCAATAAAACCATGCTTCTTACCTGGGCCCCATCCTTTAGTTTCAGGATGCACTCCATAGTGTTGATTGTTATCACTACCGATTCTGACCCAAGTTTCGTCCATGGTACATGTATACGTAACTCATGTATATGTCCACTGAGAAAGGTGAATGGAAGTTTCAGTTCCTGGAAAAAACACGTCAAGATTATGTTAAAGAGAATCTGCTTATAAGTATATAAAAAAAATAATGTGATATTTTTTTTTTAATAAAAATACGACCATGGCAATGGGCAACCCCTGCAATGCAAGGGTTACCTGCTCATTTTTGTCTAGGGGATCTGTGTAAAGGACTTTTCCTTACCTGATCCCCACTCCAAGACCAGTGCCCGCATCCTTTTCCCCCCTCCACTCTGGCGGCCTGAGGCCCGCTGATGTCATCACTTCTAATGTATGGCACAAGGCCCTGCATGATATGCTAGGACACCCAGAGACAATCAATGAACCAGAGCAGAGGGAAGAGGAGACAGATGAGCTCCCACTGCAGGGGGGAGTAGGGATCAGGTAAATTTCCTGTGTATGAGTAACAATTTTATTCATCTAACCCCTAGACATAAACAAGCAGTTAACCCTTGCAATGCAGGGGTAGCCCCACAACCAGGAAAATATTTAAAGATTGGCTTTATTGCCAAAATTGATAATGTCGAATTGACACAAATTATTTCTAGAAGGGGGCTTCAGTTATGTGCAAATGCAGGCCCTTTAAAAGCGAAACTTTACCCATATCTTTGAAATGACAACAAACACGCTTCTAGAAATGTTTAGTAATAATCTACAAACATATAGTTCTAGATTATTGCCGGTGTTCTATCAAAAGTTCTCTGCTCTAATTCATCCCAAAGGTGTTCTATAGGGTTGAGGTCAGAACTCTGTGCAGGCCAGTCAAGTTCCTCCCCCAAACTGCCCCATCCATGTCTTTATGAGCCTTGCTTTGTGCAATGGTGCGCAGTCATGTTGGAACAGGAAGGAGCCATACCCAAACTGTTCCCACAAAGTTGGGAGCATGAAATTGGCCAAAATGTCTTGGTATGCTGATGCCTTAAGAGTTCTCTTCATTGGAACTAAGGGCCAAGCTCAACCCCTGAAAAACAACCCCACACCATAATCCCCCGTCCACCAAACGTTATACCTGGCACAATGCAGTCAGGCAAGTACCGTTCTCCTGGCAACCGCCAAACCCAGACACGTCCATTGGATTGCCAGACAGAGAAGCGTGATTTGTCACTCCAGAGAACACGTCTCCACTTTTCTAGTCCAGTGGTGGGGTGCTTTACACCACTGCATCCAACACTTTGCATTGCACTTGGTGATGTAAGGCTTGGATGCAGCTGCCCGGCCATGGAAACCCATTCCATTAAGCTATCTACGCACTGTTGTGCCAATCTGAAGGACACACGAAGTTTGGAGGTCTGTAGCTATTGACTTTGCAGACAGTTGCGACATCTGCGCACTGTGCACTTCAGCATGAGCTGACCCTGCTCTGTCATTTTACGTGGCCTACCACTTCGTGGCTGAGTTGCTGTTGTTCCCAGTTGCTTCCACTTTGTTATAATACCACTAACAGTTGACTGTGGAATATTTAGTAGCAAGGAAATTTCATGGTACACCTGAATCCAATGATTTGGAGGGGTGTCCCGATACTTTTGGCAATATAGTGTATATGCCTTCACTTCCTGGAACTCTGGCACACGTGACTTGGACATTTGACCTAGCACATCATCTCGGGGGAGGAAAATGCCTTTCCCTGTGATCTGGTGAGAATACAGATGAGATTTCCCAGCAATGCTCTGCTTATGTACCCTTCCCAGGATGCAACGCTTGGACAAAGGCTGCATCACTAATGCCCAAGAGGACCACCAAGTGGACAAAAAATAATTGTAAGTAAAAGAAAAATATGTTTAACTAATGAATGTAAGATGATTACCTATCAGCATGCAGAGCTGCATGCCAATGTGATTTTTAGCAAAAGGGGGTAAAGGCCCGCTTTAACTATCAGACTCACAGGTTCAGAACAGCATTACCAGTAGCCAAACGTATATACATGTAGGTAAAAAGTAATTTCTGGAGTTGTGAAATGGACATTAACTAATACATCAGTTATTAATACCTGCCAGGGTAGTGGGTTTGAAAGAATAATAATACTTCCATAACTGAAGAGAAAACGCAAGAATAAGCTATAAAATATGAGTTATCCCATTATAGAATTAAGAACTATGCAGATTTCACTTTGGGAATTTACTTTGGCTGCCTCACAGCATAATCCTTATTAAAAATGTTATGTCTAGTACCTTATCTAAAACATTTTAAAAGTCCAGTTTCCCTCCTCCTCTCTAAAATAATACAAATCTGATAGCACAGACTACTTCCAGTCCTTGCAGCCCTGTGTTCAGGCTCCAAAGATCTCTGTTCTCCTTTCCTGGACAATCTGTTTACTGTCATTAAGAGCTCCGATTGGGCACAAATCCATGTCAAGTGCACCCCTTGAAACAGGACATTCCCTCCGAGGACTAGGCACGCTTCATTTTGCGGTAAGAAATACACAAAATCATGAGACTTCTACACTCTCGGTAATAAAACAACTTTGTGCTTTACAGCGTCTCCATTCAATTTTTAATAAACATTCATTTTGACCGTGCAACTTTGTAAATAAAATTCACAACTTCTCCTGTACAGGCTTTTAGAAGTAACCAGAGCACCCCATTTAAAACAATGTAACTCTTTGTCTACTAATGTGTACATATCTCAAGCTGACAATGAAAGCTTTATATGCGCAAGATCTCTCATCTATTGAACCAATGTTTCCTACAGAGTAACAAGCAAACATCAAAGCCCAACTCTTAATTGGTCCTCCCCTCTAACTTGGAGAGCCATCTTCTCTGCTACCTTTCATTTTTATTCCAATTCTACTTATATACAATTTATACAGGGTTGTCCTCTGCAGTGCACCACAATGCGAAGATGTAAATTAAGTATGCATTTTTCTACACTGCCCACAAGTGCAAGTACATTTTTTTTTTCAAGCCTAGAGGCTTACTAAGGGCACATTCAAAGTTAAGAAGCTTGGGATCATAAAAAAAATAAACACATATACTCACCTCTCTGCTGTAGAGTCCTCCTGAAGCTGCACCCGTCCCATGCCGGATCTAGGACCAAGAACTGACTGATCACATGACCGATGGTTTGACAGCTCTTGATCTCTGCTTCCAGTGGCACCTCTGCCAGATTTCCCGCTTCCCTTTCTAGTTCTATAGCACTGACTGGAGAGACAGACAGGGGAGGGAGCAGCACTGCTGGCTCTGGTTTTTAGCCGCATGCTGAGAGGCAGTCAGTTGTCAATCAGACTGTTGGGGATCCAAACCATATTGTCAGGAAAAGGAACAGGAGTATATTAGTTAACTCCAGGAAAAAAAAAAAGAAGGTATTAACCCTTGCAGTGGGGCGACCCCCACACAAAGGTATACTTAACAGACCATCCGAGCTGGCTTGTTTTTAGACCGGTGTCTCTCTCCCTCTGTTCCATTGGTCTAAGGATCCTGGTGTCATCACGCTCTACACTATGCATAGACTATGTAAAAGACATGAGGACACTGAGGAGCAGTCCATCTATGCAGCGGAGGAGGAGACACGCTTCAGTGATCACAGAAGGCGGGAGCCAGTTCGGATCATCTAGTGAGTATAACTTTTTCAGGTGAGTATATCTTTGTAATTTTAGCACCTAGACACAAACAAGCACATAACTCTTGCAGTGCAGATGGTAGCCCCACTGCAAGGGTTAATAAAAAAAATTCCTGGAGTCCTGCTTTAATCAGCATTTGAAATAACTTAAAAACCCTTTGACTTTAATATTGCTGTACGCGGAATAATGAATTGGTGACCTGTCTGAAGCCGATTTGATTTTATTAAGACAACGAGACAACATACCTGTTCCAGAACATCCAGCTTAAGTTCCAGCTTGCTAAGGACAACATCTCCACCCCACAGGGACAGCTGTAAGTCGGAAGGCTTCAAATTCTTTATGTATCTGTTCACATAGCTCATTAAAATCGGAGTCACATAGGACTCCAACATTGTTGGAAAAATCCAGCTGCGGGCACTCCTTTACCTGGAATTTGAAAACATATTGTATTAAAATCCACATTGTATAGAAAAGATATATCTGTACTTTATAACCAGGTTATGGTATAACATCAGAGCATTTATTTGGTCTACTTCAGGTGTTATTATAAATCCTTAGATGCATTGATGCATTCCAATAGACCTATGTTGGCCATTCAGGCAGTTGTTGCATGCACATCGCCATACATATATACAAGAAAAACTGATGCTGTATTAGGGTGCCCAGACACCTTACAATTATCTGCAGATTTTCTGTGGTCAGATGGAAAAAGTGCAACAGATTGTCCCAGGTGGAGATTCCTCCATCCACACAGTGTAGCTTAGATGGAGGAATCTGTTGCACCTTTTCCATCTGACCCTAGAAAATCTGCAGATAATCTATATGTGTATGGCCAGCTTTAGGGACCCATCCCACCTTCTCACTGGAGCAGTCCTGGATCTCCGTCCCTGTATGTTTGCCCCCTAACTTTCAAAACTAGAAAGGATCCTTGACAGCCAGGTCCAGAATTTACTTATATTTTTTGCGCTGTTTCTCTTTTTCTCAAAACCTTGAGATAAAACAGGTATCATCTATCATGCTGATCAGTAATATCCATGTGTGCATGTTTTGGAAGTATGAGTGAGGGTTGTTGCAATAACCAATTTTAGATAATTCTAGGTGGTTGTTCATTGGTGTATTTAGGCTGAGATTTGTTATTAATAAATTTATATCATTTTGTAATTCATTTTGACGCTCCGACCCTCATTAATACTGCTGTTAGTCGTGATCCTCCCTCGATCACTTCAATATCTTCTTTTTGTCGTGTGTGTCATTCCTCCCACAGCACACCCGTCCTCAGGTGTGTGTCATTCCTCCCACAGGACACCCCCGTCCTCAGGTGTGTGCGTCATTCCTCCCACAGGACACCCCCGTCCTCAGGTGTGTGCGTCATTCCTCTCACAGGACACCCCCGTCCTCAGGTGTGTGCGTCATTCCTCTCACAGGACACCCCCGTCCTCAGGTGTGTGTGTGTGTGTGTTTCGTCTCACAGGACGCCCGTCCTCAGGTGTGTGTTGGTCATTCCTCCCAGAGGACCCCTGTCCTCAGTTATGTGATCCATTCCTCTCACAGGACCCCCATCCTCGGGTGTGTGTGTCATTTCTCTCGCATGACCCCCCATCCTCAGGTGTGTGCGTCTCATTACTTTCACATGACCCCCATCCTCAGGTGTGTGCGTCTCATTCCTCTCGCAGGACCCCCATCCTCAGGTGTGTGCGTCTCATTCCTCTCGCAGGACCCCCATCTTCAGGTGTGTGCGCCTCATCCCTCTCGCAGGACCCCCATCCTCAGGTGTGTGCGCCTCATTCCTCTCGCAGGACCCCCATTTTCAGGTGTGTGCGTGTGCCTCATTCCTCTCGCAGGACCCCCATCTTCAGGTGTGTGCGTCTCATTCCTCTCGCAGGACCCCCCATCCTCAGGTGTGTGCGCCTCATCCCTCTCGCAGGACCCCCATCTTCAGGTGTGTGTGTGTGTCTCATTCCTCTCGCTGGACCCCCCCCATCCTCAGGTGTGTGCGCCTCATCCCTCTCGCAGGACCCCCATCTTCAGGTGTGTGTGTGTGTCTCATTCCTCTCGCTGGACCCCCCCCATCCTCAGGTGTGTGCGCCTCATCCCTCTCGCAGGACCCCCATCTTCAGGTGTGTGTGTGTGTCTCATTCCTCTCGCTGGACCCCCCCCATCCTCAGGTGTGTGCGCCTCATCCCTCTCGCAGGACCCCCATCTTCAGGTGTGTGTGTGTGTCTCATTCCTCTCGCTGGACCCCCCCCATCCTCAGGTGTGTGCGCCTCATCCCTCTCGCAGGACCCCCATCTTCAGGTGTGTGTGTGTGTCTCATTCCTCTCGCTGGACCCCCCCCATCCTCAGGTGTGTGTTTCATTCCTCTCACAGGACCCCCATCCTCAGGTGTGTGTATGCTGTTCCTCTGCTCTCAGAGGGCTCCTCCAGCCTGCCAACACTTCCAATGACACATCAGTGAGGGGGTCGCACTGCACTCTGTGCCTTTCCAGCTGGCTTCCTCTACACTGCAACCTTTCCATATCCAGCTTGAGGTTGCAGTGTAGAGGAAGCCAGCGCCTTCTCCACACCTCTCCTTCCTCACACCGCAGAGCGGGACACTCACCCAGGACACTCCAGCTGTGACTCCTGGGACTTCCCTGTCATCCAGTGCAGCGTGTATTCCCCTCCACACTTCCGGGTGTTCTCCTGACGGCGGAGGTGACGTCATATAAACAATATTAGCTGCTGCCGGAACCAGGATCCGCGTCACGTGACCCGGTGATTGACACACGTGGGCTCATACAGATCTCAAAGGATGGAGGATGATCCCGCATAGGGGCAGAGCTTCTCCTCGCTGAAATGTGACCAGCCGCTATCTTCCTCACAGTTGTACCGAGTCCCCTATGGGCGATCCGTGTTTTCTCAGCGGTCACTTAGGTATGAGGAAGCCTGCTGATTGGTTGCTATAGGCAACTGATCCAGATTCTGGTTAGTTATTAGGTTAGTTTCCCCCCATTATGAACAGACTGGGAAAAGTTTTGCTGTCTTTGTCACTATTGTTTTATTTTTTTATTTATTGGTATTTACACAGCACAGCCACATCAGTCCCTGCCATCAAGCAGCTCAATTAAGCCTAAGGTCCCTCTTTGCCTTCCTCCTTCAAGCATGTCTTTGGAGGGTGGGAGGAAATCGGAGTACCCGGAGGAAACCCATGCAAGCTCCTTGCAGGTAGTGACCTAACCGGGTTTTGAACTGGGGACTCGCAGTGCTGCAAGTCATTAGGCCAAACCACTAGGCAACCATGCTGTTGCTCCTGATGAGAGACTTCTGTAAATGTTTCAGCTTTCTGTATACACAATATAAATGTGCAGTAATTAGGGATGCACCGATACCACTTTTTTAAGACCGAGTACGAGTACCGATACTTTTGATCAAGTACTCTCAGATACCAATTACCGATACTTTTTCTTAAAGGGACAGGTCACATTTTTTTCTAAAGCAATACAAACTAATGCTTTAAGGTCACTTTCTTAATATTATGACGAGGGAGCATGACGCCGGCTTCCCAGCCAATCAGAATGCCGAGCGCTGCGTCATTACACGGCGCCCGGCTTCTGGATTTGCCAGCTTCCTGACCAATCGGGAAGCCGGGCAGTGCGTCATTGCACGCTACCCCGCTTCCTGATTGGCCGGGAAGTCGGCTCCATGCTCTCTCATCACAAGTGACGAGAGAGCATGGAGCCGTTTCCTGGCCAATCAGGAAACCGGGCAGCGTGTAATGATGCGCTGCCCGGCTTCCTGGTATAGGAAGTACTCGTGCTAGGTATCGGAGCATTTGGGCGAGTACGAGTACTCACCCAAATACTCGGTATCTGCACTGATACCGATACTAGTATCGGTATCGGTGCATCCCTAGCAGTAATAATACTACAGATGTTCCTCACTTACCGACTTACCTGTTTTGCGACCACTCGCACTTACGACGGACCTTCACTATTAATAAAAATGTCTCTTATTTGTGTATCACTCGGCTGTAGATCCTCAAATCATCTCTGAATTGGTGCAGACACTGTCCTTCCTTCTGGAGGGAGTCTACTTTTGTTCTCCATGATCCATCTGTGTGTAACGTAGTCACCGCTCCAAGCTCGCTCCCGTGATAGAATACAATCTCATGTTTAGTTTATCAATTTGTATTGAGATTGTTGAGACTTACATTTAAGTGTTGAACCTTGTACATTAAAGTGGCCTGGGATTAGGGGCTTCCATGCTGCAGGCAGCATTCAAAGGTATTTGCAAACACCACTTTGTGTCTGCATTGCAAGGATGATCAGTACCTTAACTGCAGCGATCCTCAGGCCAAGTCAACCTTAAAACCCAACATCAGTTTTCAGCCCCCCCCATACTTTAACCTCTGCAGTGGGCATTGGCCATTTATCTGTACAGGTGTTGGGGAGTTTATTTTTTTGTTTATTACCTAAACCAGGAGTTAGAGTTGAATCAAGTTTGTATGTATGAAATAGAACAAATAATAAAATCTGTATTACAAAAAAAAGTGAGTCCATACGTCGGGGAGCCAGGTCTGGACGTGCAGAAAAAATAGGAATGCAATAGCGTCACGGACAATGACATATGTACAATCTGGATAAACAGATGACTAGAGCAATTGAATATATGAGTAAGGCAAATCATAAATCAGCACATAGCACATGTGCATGAAAAATTAGTTGTCCCAAGCACATTGCCAACAGATATCACAGTGTATTGTAATGCTGGTGTAAGAAGAAAAACATGAAAGACTAATGGTAGGAAAGGAGATAGGAGGCCGAGGGAAGAACGGGGGCAGGAATGGGATAAGGGGTCTGACCCATGAAGTTCAAATCAGCAAAAAATAAGACAAAAAAAAAAGTAAAAACATAAGTCCCACATGTTAAAAAAAAAATCACAACCTGTAGAGATAAGTGGAACCTGGAAAATGTATCCATAAGGACCATTCAACAGAAGAACGATCCATACTATTAGTGTCAGAGGCAAGAAGTTCCTCCATCCTCATTATGTCATTGACATGGCTGACCCAGAGATAGGGGAGAAGTAGAAATTGTTTTCCAAAATATAGGGATATGGTGATGAGCAGCAGCCAGGAAATGTCCCAAAAAATACATTTCAGGGTCGTTTTTAGGTCCTGGTAAAATAGAAAGGAGAGCCACTTCAGGGGATGGTACCAAAGTGTCTCCATAAAAGTTATTATAGATATAAAAATATATGAAGCAAAAAAGGTTTATTCAATTGACATTCCCACCAAATATGTATATAGGTGCCTCGCCACCTCAAACAAACATCTGGGGTGTTTGGAAAGATACCATGTAAAGATACAGGTAAAGTATAGAAAATGTGATTCAGAGGGGCAATAGGTATAGTC